GAACTGATGTCATGAGCCACAAAGGTCCACATCAAGTGTAACAAAACTTCACTGAACTACCGCCAGCCCTTTCCCTGGTGTTGATTCCCACTGAATCTTGAGTTGGCATCCCCGGCACCTGTCATAACCACCGTCCACCTCACCTCCCCTTGTTGACACTGTGCGCACCTCTGCTGAGACTCATTGTTTTCCTTATTGTTCTCTGCCAAGACCTTCGACCTCGCCAGAATGTTCTATTGCAGATCCCGCCATATCCCAGATAGCTTGTTCCGGTATTCATATATACTCTTGTTTACCCATACATACCACAACTGTGCATGTAGATATAACAATGCATACAGTATAACAATGCACAGGTGGTAGTTGCAAAATTTCTGCAAATTTCAGTCTCCGCTGCATTGATGCAGCTTGGGGTGTATATTTCAAACCACTACATATAATGCTGTATTGCACCTATGCATATCAAATTTGATGAGGACAACAATGAGCATCTCCTGCACTGGAAGTGCATAGCTAGAAGCTGTTTAATCAATACTTGGTATGCCCACCTTGCCTCTTTATCACCTCCTTCAAACTGCATGCTCTCAATGCATGCCTCGATGCTCTCCTGCAATATCTCCTGCCAGGCTTCCTTGGCCACCCTGGTAGGTTCTTCGGTGGCAGTTGCCCTTCTCCCACGACTCCTGATTCTCTCTTCAAGGAGCTTTCAGCAATCTACAATTGGATTGAGATCGGGAGAGCAAGCAGGGCTGGGAATATAGGAGAAGCCATTTGCATGGCCTGCTCCTTGTGCCACCTTGGTAACATAGACCCGAGCATTATCCTCTAGGATGAAGGGCCCTGCTCACCATCCACAGTTGAGATTGCGGACTCCCAGAGGTTTTTAAAGTGTTTATTCACAATCTGCTCTTGGTAGAGCTGAGCAGTGACACCACCCCGCTTGCCTGTGCTTTTGCTGATGTCGAAAATGACCAGCTCTGACCTCCTGCCATGGTAGATGGCACCCAAACCATAATGGAGACCACAGACTGCCCAAATGCAGGCCTCAGATTCTCCAACCACAATGCCTCTCCCTTCTTGTGACCCCAGTCACATGATTCCCATTGGCTCTGACAATTGCCTTGTCAGCATAGATACCCTTTTGGAAGTCGATGTTCTGGTGGGCAAGGGCGTATGGGTAGCGGGCATGCCTGTGCTGCTTCTCCAGGAAAGCTTTGTACACTACCTTGCTTTGAACAAACCCATCGGTGGCCATACACTTCTTCAAGGTAGTCAGGGAGATTTTGATTCTGCTGGCAGCCGCAAGGGTGGGAAGTTTTGTGACTGGAGTCCACCTGTGCATGTGAATCAAGCAATTGAGTCGGCAGGAGGTACAAGAGTCGATACTCTTCTTTTGACAGGTGTGCTTGCGGGCCCTTGTAGTGCCCTGCTCCTTCACATCTTTGCGGGCATTGTGTGTGGTACTCTCAGCAACTCTGTGGAAGTGACCAGCTTGTGTATTGCATATCTGTTGCCTTACACAGCATGTTGGCGTCATTTAGATGGTGAAGCGTATACAGGCATGGCGGTAGAGTTGACTGGTAAAAAAAAGTGCATGCATAGCTATGTTGTGAAAGGATATATAGCTGGTTGAAGTGTTTATGAGGTCATAGACACATTTGATAGATTGGGGGGCAAACTGAAATTTGCAGAAAATTTGCAACTACCACCTGTAGCTGTACACAGTGTTCTTCCCAATACTTGGGGTCGAATATCCCCCCTCCTGGGAACTTCCACAGGGCTTCTGCTGCATCAAGCTTGCCTCTTCTGGCTGCAAGAGCCTGGGGAGGTATCATCCTCACGCTCTTGGAGGTACAGGGGAGCTCTTTCTTCCCTTGGGGGGGTAGACTAAGTCGCTCATCCTTGTCAATATCCCACATATCACATTGGAGAGGGGTGAGGCCGCTTTTTTGCCATGAATCCCTAGCGCGTTTATCTGAGGCAATCAAGCGCCAAGCCTTCTGCTGCCAGCCCCAAAACATGTTCTTCTTCACATTTTTTGAGGACTTTCAAGCATAAAATTAGAGACAAGTTTTGAATACTTGGACTTGAGGGTGCCAAAGAAATCAACATCAAGGGGTTGAAATCTCCAACCAAGACCTAAACACCCAAGCACCCTCATTCTTCTTCACCCCAATTACAATTCAAAAGGCGCCCAATTACTTGCCCAATTATTTTGTAACATAGAGGCACTTTCTATACATAGAGACACTTTCTATACTTAGGGACTGCTTCCAATAGCAACTCATGAGAAAGTGTAGCAAGCCATGGGAATGGGTTAGTCAGTCAGGTGGCAAATATGGAAAGCTTAGTAGGCCGGTAGTGCTCTAGATGTCTATATAAGTAGATAGTTTTACATAGATCTAAGGATCCCAGCAACCTCAGATATGCCTGACTTGCCTATGGATTGGGAACCACAAGCGAACAGGCCTATTCAACTCATACTAGCTAAGCCAACAAGAAGTCATCAGCCTTAGGTTAGTGCAAGACCCTATCAAGTCCAAGATAGCCTTGCTTATTGGTCCCAACACATACACATATATTAGGGGAATTCAATTTGGCGTTTAAGACCGCTCTTAAACCGTTTGGCTTGCTTAAGGTGGTCAGGTCTCAGGGACATGTAGATCCTACCCCGAGCAGGGTCCATTTTTGCATCTTGACAGCTCCAAATCGGACCTTCCCAATGAGGCAATTTTGCCAGTTTAAGAGCACCAAGTTTAAGAGTGGGTCAGAGCCACTCTTAAACATACCGCTCTTAAACTTGAGAATGCAACTGACAGAAAAATGGTTGACATTTTATTTCTCTTCTCTATCCATTGCAAAATCACCCCTTCCACTCCCCTTTCAGCAGACACCAGCCACATTTATCCACTCTCAACATGCCAACATGCTGCTAGCTTGACTGACCATGTCCATATACTTGGTGGATGCATAGATCAGTGACTGAGATACAATTTATAATGGCTTTCCTAATCCCAACACGTCAAATAGAAAGGCGCCCTGAGCTTGTAATACTAGGGGAATTCAATAGGATGTAGGTGTGTGTCAATCATTGGAGACAAGAGGGGAAGTGGATGGAGAGGATAGAGGGCAAGAGCAAAAGAAATACATTCAACATCACTGTTGGACATGGCCAATGCGTTTGAGACGGACGGGATCTAATTGGGTTCAGACCTCTGCAGGGCCAGCCACGTGCTTGTCCCTGTGGCCCTGAGGCCGCCAGTTTAAGAGCGCAAGTTAAAGCATGCCAAATTGAATTCCCCTATTGTTAGTTGGAATTACACATACATAGATAGCCCTTTTCCTTCATTGAGTCAAAAGATTACTTCATACTGCTGGGCAGTTATAGAGACACTGTGTGTAGGACCTGACAGTGTGCACTTGCCTCAGTGTTTCTGTTGTTGTGTGTTTTGTTGTGACTCAGAGACAGCAGTCAAGGAGGCAGAAGTAAGCGGCACAGAGAGTAGGCCAGGTGCCCAAGTTGGTAATCATGATGAATATATTGTGAGGGAGGGTAAATGTGGGGGGATAGGTGTGGAGTAGGAGTAGGTGTGGAAGTAGGTGTGGGAGTAGGTGTGGGAATAGGTGTGGGAGTAGGTGTGGGAGTAGGTGTGGGAGTAGGTGTGGGAGTAGGTGTGGGAGTAGGTGTGGGAGTAGGTGGACAAGGTGCAAGTCCTAAGGCCAAGGACAACACCGTGGGGCCCAAGCGAGATTGTTTTGATCTTGTGTTGAAATGTCCAGATATAAGCTCAATCTAGGATGGTCAGCAAAAACTTGAATCAGGACGGAATTGATCTACCCTGTTTGATCTGTTATTTCAATCTCAATTCCGGATCAAATGTTGCATACACCATAACTTTGATCTACACTTGATTATACTCTCCTTATGGCTACAGTACAAAGATCTCTCCAAAACAGTTGAACACACACAAGAACACTATTCTAGAGTGAAGTAGTTGCTTTACCCTTCATGATAAAAGTTGGAGCCTGTATAGTATGATTAGTAAATGTGTATCTTCCTTCCACAGATATAACGGCTTACATTCAGTCATTCCATGCACTGAAGGGGGGTGTAATTGGCAGAAGAGAAGCAGGAACAGAAGGGCAAGGAAGCTCAATCTCAGCAAATTGTTGAGTGCGCATGTGGTGATCAGGCCTGCTCTGGGGGAACAGCTGAAAGTATCACCACTTGTAATCAAGGGTTTGTAAGAGGTGTGGTTCCTCTTCACTGACAGCGGTGGCGAGGAAGGCGAACGGTGAAGGTCACAGCTATGGCTAACTGGACGGAAGAACGGCAAAAAAAAAGAACGGCGGAGAACAGCGAAGGGTCGAGCAGGGGGTGCAGCCTGAAGTGAAACAGGACCCCAATACATATATGTCTCACAGACAGGAAAAGGCAGTGACTCTGGGCAGAGATCAGTCCTAACTCTAACAAAACGCACACACAGACACCTGAGCTGTATAGCAAAGGGCAAAGAACCGGGAACGACAACGGGTATATACGTACCTGGGCAGAGATCAGTCCTAACTCTAACGAACTGCCCAGGATTTAGCTATGCACTCTAATAGACAAAGAAGAAGGGAACTCACACGCACACACAGACACCTGAGCTGTATAGCAAAGGGCAAAGAACCGGGAACAACAACGGGCAAAGAAAGAGAGGCCACGTCAACATTCCATCAAGTCCTCATCTGCGCGTGCGGCGAGCTCCGCGAAACTCTGGAATGCCGCAGCAAGACACGTTACGTAAACAATCCGTTTACCTAACACTATATTAACAGTGTCAGGACATGTCCTGGCGGCGGTGTCCGTGCCGCGTTTGGTAAACCGCCATTTGGCCAAGTGGTACCCCCGGCTTACGTCAGCGTCTCCCCCCCCTAGGCTGCGCCCCGGATCCCAAGTCTTTCATACTTCGATACCAGCATCATGGACCGCCAAAAAGCCCCCAACGCTACCGCCAATGACAGGCAACTCATGGACCGACAATATGGATCAGTTTGAAGCAGGGAAAGGGTTCTGGGAAGGGGTTGGGGAGGGGGAGATTGTGAGGCGGAGGGCGGATGTGGTCAAGTGTATCTTGGAGAGGTTGGAGGATGGACAGGAGCTTATTGGAGGCTGGAAGCTGGACAGGGGGTTATTGGGAGATGGGGGAAGCTTGGGCAAGAGAGGGGGATTGTTTTGACTGATGGGCATAATAAGGTATGTGATGAATTTGAGTGGGAGGATGGTTGGGCTAATGGAAGCGGTAGGATACGACGCTGAGGACGATAACGACGATCAAGCATCTGAGAGGGCTTGGGGTGAGCTTGCCATTTCAAGTGTTTCGTGACCCAGGCAAAACCAGTAATCGAAAACAACATCAAGCTGTTGAAGAGCTCGGTGCGACTCTGCGCGAGGCGAATGGTCTTTCCAAAGAACCCGGAGCTTGCAAGGTATGCTTTACCTCGAGTTTTCGCATCACGAGCTAACATATGTGGGTGTGGAACTGGCAGATCAAAGGCGCCGCCCTAGTCGACTCTTCCTTCCGCAAATCATCTACCTCGACTCTGACAACACCTCCCAACCCCCGCACCTCCCCCGTCCACCTCTTCGAGGCCCCCATCTCCACAACCTCCGGGCGCGCCGCTTTCTGGCCTGACCTCACCAACGATCACTCGCACAACGCTGGCGCAACATAGGCGACACCTGTTCGCAAGACCTCTTCACTCTTGAGTTTGATCAAATTGTCATTGACAAAGCGGGGAATGAGGGACTGAATATGCCCGCGCTGGTAATTGCGGCGGGGATGATGCGTGATAGGGAGTTGGGGTCGGAGTTTGGGGTGGCGCCAAGGTGGATAGGGGCGGTTGGGATTGAGAATGGGTTTGAAGAAGGCAGGTCTTGTGAACAGTGAGTTTTTCTTCTTCCCCTTCCCCTTCTTCTTCCCCTTCTTCTTCCCCCTCCCCTTCCTCCTCATCTTCCACCTCTTCTTTCTGATGGTAATGATTTGTGCTGACTGAGTGCTAGCTTGGTGTTACAGCACGACCTCATCATCCCCAAAGGATTCACAAAAGAACCTCCTCTCTTTGTCCATTCCAACCTGCTACAACATATGCGGAAGATCGGTCTTTGTCAAGGGGACATAATCACTCATACTGTACGCCACCTCCCCTTCCCTCTCTCATCACTGTTTTGCTGATATGACTACCATAGCTTCGGATGAAGAACGATAATGTCTCCTCTCCATCCCTCAACAACGCCCACTCGCACGTCTACATGGGTCAAGCACGTGGGATGTGTATCGACACGACACCTTCATTTCATACAACATCGATATCTGGTGTCGGCATGGAAGAGCAACCACTATAAAGTATAAAGTACTCGAGTATATGTATGAATGGACCGTTTACATGTCGTTCCGAGTGTCAGGCCTTCACACATACATCACAAGAAAGTATCAATTGATGACCAGAGGATCACACTAACCAACAATCACAAAAGAAGGAAGTACAGCAGACAATACAGCAGACAGATAGGATAGAAAATAACCGTATAAGCCAAATAGGAGGAGAAATTACCGTATACTATACAACATACCTAAACAGAACAAGACACCCCCCAATCTCATCATACAACATACCTAGAGGGAAGAAGACAGCCTCAAATCTCATCGTTATTGAATGCTTGCCTCACCAGCTTTTGTAGCTGATGGAGACTGTACCCCTTTGCCCTCCTGTAATCCTCCACCAGCCTTGCTGCCTCCTTTTCTTCTATAGTCTTCTTCTTCGCGAGATCAACCACGACTCCATAGATCTGCTGCCTTCTTGAGAAGTGTTTCTTTTTGGCCTCATTCTTCTTGAACTCAGGTATGCTGAGCATGTCTTTAACAGGAAGTCGACCGTTCTTCCAACAACGTACTCCTCCCAAAGACTGACCACGTCCTCGAACTCGCGATCCATCTTGTAGATCTGTGCTGCTTGGGTAGTTGAGGGCCCGTCATGGGGAGCGTTCGTAACTTGGCCGTTAGACGCTTGAGGGGTGTTATTAGTCATATAGGAACCTGGAGGACAGATTTGAAGTCAGTAAAGAAGGTGCTGTAAATCCGAGACTCACTGCTGACAGCTCCGTCAGGTCCGACTTGTTGAGCCATGGCCTCCAATGAGCAAGCGAGGCCTCGTAACATCTGTCTCCAGGCCTCGTCTCCCCTTCGGTCAGCCACTTTTCTCTTAAGCTCTTCTTGACCGGCACCAAGTTCAACCACTTGTCTTTTCACGCCTTGTAGCTCTGAGGTCATCGCGCGGAAACCGTTGACCATGACATCGCTCAGTTCCGGTATGGCTCTTTGCAGCTCGTCGCTGACAGAAAACTGGGAGGTTTCAGCCTCTGCAAGAGCCTTGGCTTCATAGTCGAGGTAGACTGGATCCGAGAATAGCTCGTGCTTCCAGACAAAATGTTGTGGCGTGAGCTTCCTGAGAAAGGGGGCATCTTGGACAACGACCTTGGCCAAGAACCTCATGGCTTTGACCAAAGCCCGACCAGCTTTGTCAGTTTCGGCTGCATCATCCAACTGCTTTTCACTATTGAGTCATTGTTTGTCAGAATACCCAGTGCTGCCATATCGTCGGAAAGACTCACGCTTCATTAAGCCAAGGGAAAGCCTGATTGACAAGGCTGACGGGGACGTCATAGTCGCGCACAATGCGATAGGCACCTCTGTTGTGGGGGTCAAAGCCTGCCAGAGCTTGCAAAGCTCCTCGAGGGAACTTGCTTTGGTAGGTAGTCTGCATGACTGAGGTCGCCCATCAACCATGCCTGGCGATATCATCATCGGCAGCGCCTCTCTTTTCCGCCAGCTGGGTGCCCCATTTACGCGATGTGTGCGTTGACGCTTTAGAGTAAATCCCACTAGCGTTGAGAGCCTTTCGGACACTGGCATTGAGAGCAGGATATGTGAGCCTGACATTCCTGCCGGTAGTCTGACTGTCATTCCTTTGGCGCTCCTTTCCGTCGTTTCCGTTGCTGCGTTTCTCTGGCCTGGCTTGAGGAGAGATGAATCGCGGAGTTCCGTACCACTCTCTTCTTGACCGAAGCGAAGGGAATGGGCAATCAGCTTCATCGACTGGGATACCAAGACCATGGAAACTAGAATTGGTATGCGTCAGATGTGTTGTGTACTTGAGTGGAGCGATTTGACCCACCGACAGAACAACATAAGAGCCAACAGAGCCACGGGACAGATCTCCGGGTCTTTGTGCCTCCACATCGTGGCATACTGGACTTTACCGGTATGATTGGTTTTGCCTTCTCTCATAATGATGACGATGCCGAAACATGGGGAGGCGCCTTCGTCATCGAACTCTTCTAGAGATATTGAGTTCAGGTTTATGCCTATCTAATCGTCCGATCGAAGAAGAGCATATATGCCCATTGACTGGGCACATAGATCCCTCAATCCCTTGAAAGAGTTTCGATCGAGATAGTGCTTGAACAGCTGTCTCATGTTGGAGAGAGACTGAATACCATCATAGTGGGTGCCTGTAAGCCATGTCAGTTCTAGAAGAGAATGATGGCCGGAGTCCATAGCAACTAACCATCACCAGCGTCTTCAAATCTGGCAACTCTACAGGCGTTGACGATGCAATCATAGGCTCATAGGATCGAGTTGACAGATTTTGACCGGGGATGGTCGGAGCAGGCATCAGGGCGCGTTGCCTTCTGCGTCTCCCAGAGATTTACGGCGGCAGCGAAGGACAACTTGAGGGAATGGACACTTTGCTGGCACTCGAGCAATCTCTCAAGAGCGACATCTTCACCTTGAATCAGATTTTGCCAAGCGTGACGGTGACCCGGCAGAACTGCGGCACTAACCTGTGTCATTGAACCTGAGCGTCTTCCGTACGGCCGAAAACTCCACCTCCTTCTCAAGCTCGCTCCTCAAAAACTGTTGTTCTGTCTGTTGACCCTCCTCTGGTCGCTCGTTCACTTCGTCCTCGTTCTCTTCGTCCTCGCTCTCAACACCCATGAGGCAGGCTGAGGCTCCAGCATCGGTAGCTACCCCCAAACCTTCGCCAGCGGCGTCCGCGACCTCCGGAACTTGCAAAGTACTACCACTGGGTAGAGTGGCGTGACCTGGGTTCGCTTCTCGAAAGCGCTGGTTGAGAGCCTCTTGTACCATCGGATGAGTCGGGTACCTTCCGTCTTGCTCTATCATTATACCAATCAGCCTTCAGCGGTGTTGAGTAGTCTTCTGACGTACTATTTTTTGGCAGACGCAGAACCCACTCGAAGAGGTACATACTCATCTTAAAGGGTGTGATAATGTCTCTACAGAACAGTCGGTCAATCAATCTGCTGCTCTCATGCTCGTATATGGCGGCAACTCACCGATCGTCGAAGTTCTTGACGTTGCAATACTCATACCACTGCTTATTCTTAATGGCATACTGCCTTTCGGTCCCCTTGGTGACATTGCTTGTGCGATATTGGTCAATTGTGACCAGGGTTTCCTGGTCTGCAGCTGAAATATCTGCCTGAGCCATGGGAGCGTCGAGGCCCTTGGAGCGCTGGTTACGCGGCATGGCAATGAGTGGCAAGAGAGAGCAGGTGAAGGTACGTAGGGCTGAAGGGTTTTCGGGTTTTCACTGCTGAGATATCAATTGTAGGAGAGGGTGAACGATAATCCTTGAAGTGGAGTGGTGGTATGCACAGAGACGGCTTATATGCAGTTGATATGCTGAGTGATTGCAACGCACGACGGACGGATGACGGAAGACCAGAAGACAAAGACGAATGCGCATTAGAAAACTGCATATTAGAATGCGGTTGTAATGCTGAGCTGTGTCCCTAATGGCAAGTAATGGACCTTGCGTGTAAACTGAGTTTACAAGCATCCTGTCATAGGCAGGGACCCCTGTAAACTGCGTTTACATACATCCTGAATCGGGACAGCACCAAAGTTTGGCTGGTGACATGGGTCGCGGGACACGCCGTGTCCCCAAGCCGCGACTTGGGTAAACACCAATGGAAGCGCTTCTCATTTGTCTAAGTTCTTTCCGCTCTTTGTCCCACAGCTTTATCGGGCCGCCTCCTGCATGCATGCATAGCAGGAGCGCTTCTCATTTGCTGGGTCCAAGCACTCAAACGCAACAGGCTGCCTTCCGCTAATGCTTTCTCACATGCAGTCCAACAGTCAAGGCAGAGAGTCGCAGCCAAAAGGGGTTGACAGGTCGTATGTTAAGAAGGGTATGAGGCAGGCCTCTTACACTTTCCCCCCCTTGAATGAGACCACAGGTTGAACGCCATCAACAATGCCCATCTTTTCCTCCAAGTCCATCCTCTGCGCTGCCATCTGCCATTCCTCCTGACTCGGTTGCACAAGGCCAAATTCTCTCCACTTCGCCTCTTCTTCTGCCGTTTGGATGGGGGGTAGGAGGGATAAACGCTTGCCATAAACCAATTGAGCCGCCGAGGTCTTGGAGGTAGGGCGGACGGAATTGTTCATAGCAAATGCCACACGTTGGAGGTCATTGGCCCATCAATTACCTTGGCGATTGGTGTAAACACGCAAGGTTTGAATCATGGTCTTGTTTGCGCGCTCTGAAGCACCGTCGACATCTTCAACTTGGTACCACAGAGTTCGTGGAGGCGATTCCAATACAAGGCCATGAACAGTTTATCTCGATCAGAGACAATTGAGCGAGGAAACCCAAATTTGGAGACCCAATGATCAAAATATAACTGGGTGGCGGCAGAAGAAGTAACTGTGGTGACCGTGGGGATAAGAACAATCCACCCAGTAAGACGGTCTGTAATGACCATAAGATAGTCGTAGCCATTACTGGGAGGGAGCGGTCCAACAAAGTCAATTGCGATGTTGGCAAATTTCAAGCGAGGGACGGGTAAAGAGTGGAGGAGACCCGCGGGTTTGGTTGTTGAGGACTTGGCAGTTTGGCAAGGGTGGCACAATTGAACGTACTCCCTGACATCCTTTTTCATCTGCGGCCAAAAGTACTTCTCCAAGGAGGCGGCCTGATAAAGCTGTGGGAGAAAGAGCAGAAAGAACTTAGACAAATGAGAAGCGCTTCCGTTGGTGTTTACATAATGTGTATTGCCACGTCATTTCAGAGTTTCGCGGAGCTTGCCGCATGCGCAGACAAGGACTTGGTGGAACACAACGTGGCTTCTCTTTCTTTGCCCGTTGTCGTTCCCCGTTCTTTGCCCTCTGCTATACAGCTCAGGTGCCTGTGTGTGTGTGAGAGTTCCCTTCCTGTTAGCTCTTGTATTGCATAGCTAAATCCTGGGCAGTAGTTAATAGCTAGGACTGACTTCTGCCCAAGTATGTATATACCCGTTGTCGTCCTTCTTGTGTCCTATTGCTTTACAGCTTAGGCGTCTGTGTGTGTGTTAGTAAATAGTTAGGACTGACTTCTGCCCAGAGTCACCGCTTTCTGCTGTCTGTGTGACATTATATGAATTGGGGTCCTGTTTACTTCAGGCTACACCGCCCCATCCAAATCTTGCCGTTCTTCGCTGTTCTTGTCGTCCTTCTTGCCGTTCTTTGTCCAGCTAGCCCATTGCTGTGACCATCGCCGTTCGCCCTAGTTGCCATCATCAGTGAAGAGAAATGACACCTCTTACAGAGTGAAATTCCGACTTGCAAAAGAAGGAGTGAAGTCAAGATGGATCAGCTTTGACAAGGCCGAGATGTATACAGGTTGAGGGAAGCTTGGATGGAATTTATGGGAGAGGATGAGTTGTATTTGGATAAGCTAATTGTGGAAACTGCAGATTGTTTTGAGTCATTGGGCAATGTTGTCAAGTGAGCTGTATTACTTTGCTGTCCCCCCATTTCAACCATTTTTTGCCCTTTCTGCCCCCAAGTATATTTGACTGATCACATCTGTAGGATTATCCTCATTGTATTACCAACCCATCAAGTATGCAGCAATGGCATAAGGTTTTCCCACTGGGTTTTCCCTGCTACTTGTTCTATTCCGACGTAGGCCTGTACAAATTATCTTGGTCATTTCCGTTCACACCAAATGAACCAAGCTTTTGCCTGCCTACCGCTTTTCATAGAGACCTCAGTAGGATAGCGCCTTTGCCGTGGTTTTCATTTTTTGCTTTCTCCTTTTCCTTTTCGCTTTCTTTTTTTTCTCCGAGTCAGTTCTGCCTGTGTTTTGGCTATTGCCAACACTACTGTCTGCTTTCGTTCCTTGGATCTGTTTTCCAGTTTCCTGCCATCTTGTTATGTTACCGCTTTCTCTGTCCCCTTTTGCCACTCTGCCTGTTTCTGTTGTTTCTTTGCCACTTCCGGCCTTTCAGTGTTATGACTTGTGTAATTTGTTACGTGACTGTTCTTGCCCAGGGACAGAGGCCGTGGACACGTGAAACCTTTGGGTCTTTATCCATTCTCTTCTCCACTTGCCCTTGACTGCTTTGTCCCTGTGTGTATCCATTTCTCGTTCCGGTGTTCTCATTGACTGATCCTTGCCAGTATACTCTTTTTCCCTTTGGTGTGCTTCTCTTTACTTATATTAATGGACATTGTCCAGATACATGCACATGGGGTCTTGCTTGCTTCTTGAGACAAAAACACCATTGACACAGTGAAGGACCACCCTGCCTCTGTAGCTCAGGGGTTTAGAGTATGTCCTTCGTAGTTTCACAAGGCAAAGACAGGTCAGGGTCACAGGTTCGAATCCTGTCTGAGGCATTGATTTTTTTGACACAGTGAAGGACCTCCCACATGGTCCTTACACTTTTTTTTCAGAGAAAATATCTTAAAAGACCCTCTTTCAATTGTGAATATCTAAAGTGACCTCCTTTCTCATGAATATATCTAAAACAACCCTTTTGCCTATTCGGGACATACCCTGTCCTTCGGAGCATTCTGGGCGCGCTACCCTGGGTTTTTTTCCTGGCGTCAGACATGGCACGGGGAGTGTTGTGTTTGCGCGTCAATTGTGCATCATTCTGCATCATTACATGTTTGTTGCATCTTGCTATCCTCAACTTTTATTCAAACCAGCTCTTTCAGTATGGACTCCGGCACCTTCAAACCTGCCTCCTGGCCACCTTCTCTTTTGGACACTGACAAAAGCACCATCAATAATATTTGCAACAACACAACCAATGGTCTTGCTGTGATGGATGGCCATGTTGTCAACATCAGCGCGTTTCTACTGCCGGAAGATGAAGAAGAGGATGAAATGTCATCTGATGAAGAGACCAAAACTGGAGAGGAGGCAACTGATCCGCGTTGGGTTGCAGATCTAAATGCCAAATATGACACTCCCCTCCTGGAAGTCGGTATGTGCTTCCGGTCTGTGGACAATGTCACTGTACAGGTGACATGGCACTCAATTGCCTGGAACAACTCTATACCCACTCCCTTGAAGGGCAGCAGTACCTTACGGTCTTTTGGCTGTCTGACGACACACAAGAAAGACAAGGATGGAGATGAAGAGAGGGGGTCAGATTGCAAAGAGGATTCGAGTTCAAGGTCATGCCAGTACAGAGTCAGAGTAACAAAGGAGAAGGATCAAATGACTGGGTGGTCAAGAAGATGCATGATACTCATACCTGCCTGCCTACTCCAAACCAGCCAAGGACCCTCATCAGATTGCACAAGTTTGTGAAAGCTCTGGTAAGTGATTGTGCACTCCATTTGGTGTTCTGGTCAGTTATAGCCAGCTAATTTCCCGTTTAGGTCTTGCACTACAATGTTGTCACCCAAAACTCCCAGGCTTCCATGCTCATCACCAATGTCAAGAAGCATACCGGCATTGTGCTCCCCCCTCTTTCTGTTCATTGAGCTCCCAAGGAGCTTACTCAGAACAATGTCAACACCCACACCCTTGCCTTTCAGCAACTCCCGGCCTACCTTGATTGACTCAAAGGAGCCAACCCTGAAGCCATTGTGTCTCTAGACGCCAAGAGGTCATACTCTTTCATTGCTCCTTCTCCCTGCTGGAAGGCTTTTGAACACATGCCGCCTTTCTTTGCCATCGATGGCGCTCATTCAAAAGCTGTCCACGACTACATTCTTCTCCTTGCATGTGCGTATGATGCCAATCATGAGATTGTTGTTTTGGCATGGGGGCATGTTGTGGCTGAATCTGAAGACTTGTGGCGATGGTTCTTATCCCATTTGAAGGAGGCATACCCCAGTATGGTGGACAATTCTTCACTTGTGGTGAGGAGTGACCGGCAGAAGGTAGGATTTGTCTATTATTCCTGTAATCGCCAGCAACTGATCTCAGTACAGGGTCTCAATCTTGCTATGGAAAGGGAGCTCCCACTGGCTGCTCACGGCTTCTGTGCTGTCCATATCTTCCACAATATCAAGGGGAAGTTTGGGATCAAATGTGTCAAGGCTTTCATGAACTTGATGTACACCAACTCAAAGGAGGTGTATGATAGCCACATGGACAACATTCACAAGTTGAATCCCATTGCGGCCGAGTATATCCTCAAAATACCCCCTGAACAGTACTCCGGCTATGCCTTCCCTTCTCTTTGTCAGGTCCTACCCACAGTGTCCCTATAGCTGTCCAGCAGTATAAAGTATCTCTTG